TATAGATCGTCTGAAAACACTCAACATAGTTTCGCTTCAAACCGGGCTAAACCCGTCTATTCACCGAGCACTGGATGTATGCATTGAGCGTTTACTAGGAAAAAGAAGTCTTTTAGACGCATGCTCTAATTCTTGTGCCATGACCCGTTATCTAATTAATTTTCAAATCTCATTTCTATAAATAATACACTAATCTGATAAACAATAGATAGTTGTAAAATTTGGGAAACTAATTTAAGGTAAATAAGTTCTTTCACTATCTTTATTTCAATCTTCTTTTCTACCTATGCTTTAGCCACTTTTATCGGCCTGGTTTTGTTGACCATGAAAAAACGTTGGACTGCATCGAAAAAGCGCGATCCTATCAGCACTCGTCGACCAAGACAGATCTACACAAGGAATCTATCTGACTGTTGTTGGAACTGCACTACGAAAATTCAAGAACATCGCGAAAGCTTTTCAATGCTGCATTTAATGCGTAATGAAGCTGCTCGATTGGCTTAAAGTGGCAACAGTTTTGGTGGAAAATTCTTATCAAATTCTCGTTTTGCCCACCACATTGTCATCTTTTCAAGAAGCGCCAACGAGTCAGGGACGATGAACAGTGAACTCAACGAAGCGGGAAGTGGGATCGGGCTAGGGATAAGTCGGCTAGAACACGGCTAATGAAAAGCCTATGGTGCAAAAGCGATCAGATCAAACTGATTGGTTTATAATTACAGAGACTATGTTGTAGGTGTACAGTTGGAGGTTCAAAGATCATCGAGAACAACATGAAAAAAGAATTAGGCAGATGAAAGAAAGCAGCATGGGTAGTATTCGTGCCTTACAAACAAGTCACCGAGTAACTAAAGAACGCGAAAATCCACGCTCACCTTTTCTACTCAACAGTCCTGCCGGCGTTTTGCTGTGCAGCAGAAATGTGGCATGATACTTTAATAACGTCAAGAATGTTACGCACTACTCACAGAGGGCTTGAACGTTGTTTTCAAAATTTTAGCCGACGTTCACAATGTTTAACGGTCGCAGCTCTGACCTTCGAAATCTATCTCATTTCGAGATCTAGTAGAAAACACATTGATAGCGAAACATGGATGACTGGGTCATACAGTGAGCAGAACAGGCGACAAATGGATGAAAAGAACTATGGAGTGGACTCCAAAAGGTAGCAAGCGTATCCTGGAAGACAACGCAGATGATACCCTGGCATGTTTGCAAACTAAGCAATTAGTTGTACCCGCAGCTGCCGATGTTTCACAGATCGCGGTGTGAGAGTCGCACCAGTTACTACCGTAAACGACGACTGTGAGGTGAAGAAGCGAGTGGAAAATGTGCCGAGGTCGGCATAACTCGTAAAAACTGGCCGCCCAATTATCGAGGTAAGTAAGTACTCCATCTTTAATCACGCAAACCTATATGTATGGCCTACCAAAGTCTGGCGTGGGGTCAGAGTATATTCACAAGCAGCTCGCCAAGATTATGGTATATGTACGAGGTCGCTTGTATTTCGTAAACCTATGCGATGGTGTCCCTCCAACGGTTTACCGCCTCATCGTGACTAGAAGGTGATCCTGGGTGTCGGACTGCAATGCACAACTGAGGATTCATACCTTGGCAGGCACTCCTAAGCTGAAAAGGACTCCGTCGTTTTCATTAGGAAGCCTAGCTAAGAATAAACCAATACCAGGATCCACCACCGTTCCGGTATCAAAGACGCATGGTGGCAAATCTTCCTCTGATCCACAAGGGCTGCTACAGCTTTTGGTGGTGAAGACGTGGGGCAGACTTTGGTTGGCTTAACCTCGGAGTTCCAGGGAACCGAATTGTGTTAACGAGCAAATCTCTGAAAATTGGAGATTATGCTGAAAACCGCACATCCAGTGATGACAGGCCGTTAAAGTACCAAGTATCAAGTATGCGATGGTACAGCACTGCAAGTTGTCCGCTATCGCCATGACCAAGAAAACAAGTACCGCCTAGAAAACTATGAAGGTCATTGTGTCCTTTAAGTAAACGAAGCACACACTGTTGCTCACACACGCCTACATTTTTGAAAACTTTCTCAAATTATTCAATGATTAGTAGGATTGCAGTCGAAATAAGTGATGCAACATCATGTAGGAAAAGTACGTGACTTAAATTACTGTGCTATTAGGAGGTGGTTTAGAAAAAAATTTTTTTTGTGTTTTTCAACTTGACACCGACCATTGTTCACTAATGGGAGATATTGCTTTTCTGGTCTGCTGAATTAGTTCACATTAGTGCTTAATAAATAAATACAAGCGAACGAATTGGGAAGCGGGAGAGGTTTGCTATTACTTCTCTTCGGCGTGATCTGATTTTAAAACTGGACGAAATTCTTGCACTAGAAAAACTGTACAGGAGAATAAGATGACCGGACGGTTAGAGTGATGCTTCAAAATAGACTTTCCTTTAACCTCGGTATTGCTAGTCAAAATGTATTCTTTCTTTGATGAGCTTACACGAGATTGGCAAACAATTTTTATTCGAGTGATCAGATTATTATTAAGATTAGACTCGGTTGGAATGATCCATTATCATGTTCTTTGCTAAACGAAAGCATGAGCGTTTGTTTTAGTAACCGAAAGCTTTCTTGTCCACCTTCTATGATTCCTATTCTCTCTTTAGAGTGAAAAAAGTCAACTTTCGGTCCAAATAGCTTTTGCTAAATATTTATCTCCCTTCTTCTACGAATAACGTTACAAATGTTCTTCTCGACATCAGCTGCTTCTCTTTCTACCACTACCCCTTTCTAAACCCCACTAGGTCTTCGGCAGCATGAAATAAAGCTTGTTCGGGATCGGAAATGATTCCACGAATTTCGTTAAGCGTTCTTAACCAGAAACAACTAAGCGAATTTGAAAGAACAACACTGTGTCCTAAAAATTTTCAACTTTTTTGATGTTCATAAAAATCAACGTTGGCTAATAAATACTATCGATTTGTCGTTTTCTTGTTCAGCAATCGCGAAGTTTTTAAACAGCATACATTTACTTCCATAGAAAAACACAATACAATACAACGCTAGCTGACGTTTCGGCAGTATCGCCAACCACATGCGACTATAATCAGCTGTTCTAAACTTCCTCATTGGAAGTCACAAAAAAGCGGTGGGTTTTTTCAAGAAGTTGTTGATTATGTAATTACCGGAGAGTTCTTCGTCTTTTTTGTAAGTGTCATTGAAGCGTTTGGCCTAGTAGATTGTATATCAGTACACCCTTCCAGGCTCTGAAGAAGGCGATCCTGCCGAAACGTCAGCTAGCGTTGTATTGTATTGTGTTTCTCTATCGAAGTAAATGTATGCTGTTTAAAAACCTCGCGATTGCTGAACAAAAAAACGACACATTCATATTCCAATGCCGAGGTTAAGAGAAAGTCGATCCCGGGAACTATCGATTTAGACAACTTATACCAAAATTGTGTGTTATTACAAACTTTGATCCACTAAAATATTCCCAACACTTTGATCTTTTAGATTACTGCAGCCGAAAATTCTCTACAACTGAAAAAAGTGAATAAAGTATCCAAGCTTTAGGCCGCTTACAACTATACTGTATAAAAACGAATTAAGGATTAGTATGGTAAACTCTATAGGGCGTCGCACCTCTGGGCCCTCCTAAAGGAAAAACGTTCCGTTACTAAATGAATCTATCGAAACTCGTTAAAAACTTGCTTATTGTTGACTTTATGAATTGCTGTGTATATGAAAACATTATCGTTTTTTCATAAACGCTTTGAAAATCACACAATTCGCTCATAAAAAGGGCAACACACGAAGGTCGCAGTTTTGTCTCCCTAAATCCCGACTGCGTTATTTTCAAGTATTCGCTTAGGCTGTTGGCTTTTTTCCCAAGTTTATGTCATTCAGTGTTTTAATTTGGTTTATCACAGTAAAAATGGGAAAGCCTGTCTAGTGAAATGGTATGGATTATAGAAGCTACTTGTAAGAAACAATGCATTTGTGCAGGGGATTGCTAGCGAATGCAAAAGCAGCGTTGATTTCAAAAACATCGGAATAGAGTCAAGAACACAATGACAGCGAAGATGTCGAGAAAGGTTATGACTGGCCTGAGAACGTCTACATGGAGATGGTCTAAGGCGCCTAACATTCATGACGGATAAGAAGGAATCCCGCAAGAGGGTGCCGAAACCACGCGAAAAAATAGGTTTAAAGGACTTGCTGAAGTGAAAATACGAAGAAATAAATCGAATTGGAAAAGTGCTGTAATCCAAGCAGCGTGATGCAACTTAAGTTGGGTCATGTATTGAAAAAACGATATGCATATTCTGAAACCGATTGACAACATTGAGAATGCTATCAGAGGGAAGAATGGCCAAGATACCAAAGCAGTACCAATAGCCATGAGACATTTAATTCATGTTTATTCACAATCTGATGATAGAACCTAAAGTTATCTTTAGCACAAAAAACAACTAGAACCTAGAAGAGGTAAAAATGGCCAGAAATAAAATAGATGGTAGATGGAGAGCTGCCCTAATGATTTTAAGTATGGTTTGCACCTTGGATTATTTGCACTAAATTTGTCCGAACACTGTTTCTTAAGTCCTAATAAACAGGTAAAGCGATACCATTGGTAAAAGAATGATTTAGCCAACGAGAAAAAGCAGCAAAAGCGATTGTCGCAGCTGTTGTCGTTGTTGTAAGTGCTGGTGAGTGTGTGTGGATCAAAGGCGAGCGTTCTCAGTCATATTATCATAACGATATTCACATTTTCACAACTATCCCTCATTTCTCAGAAAATCCAATCCATTCGTAGATTAAACTTCTACGGACTAGCCTCCCTATCGACTTCGGTAATCAAATCAGGCCTGTCCAATCAACTCGTCCGCCAATCGTCGCCCGAGATGTGAAGCGGACGAGAGTGCACGAGAGGCTGCGAGCGCACAGCCGCTACAGTAGTCTGACATCTGGGCGCGGTTGCCCGTGTCGTCGCACATTCTTAAGTCGTGCTAGCGCAATGAGCGACGGACTCAGCTCCAGCTCTACAGCACTGTCACAGGTAAGCGTAAACTTTATAGTCGACTGTTCTGTTAATCGTTATAATAAACATGTAACTACCTACCATGTGGTGAGTGAAATATCATAGATGGATCACTCCAGCAGCCTTTGCGCCGGATCGCCGAAATACGATTTGGCCCGCGTCTCCACTCCAATAATTAACTTTTCTCCAATATTTCTCCTCTCATAAACTCATTATAGAAATGTGATTGTGTGGGTTTTCTCCAGGATGGCAAGGGAAAAGATCTGGGCGTCGCTTTGCACGACTTTGCGGCTTATTACGGATCACCACTAGATACCGTTTCGGCCAGTCTTCGCCCTCTTGGTGAAACATCAAGTTCAGGTGAGTTTCAAGGCTATCATTCAAGCTTTTGAATAAGTCACTTACTTGTGGCCTTAAATTCGACTATTTAGCTGACCCTTGTTGGACCTTGATCATTCGGCCCTGGGCTCAGTAGTACAAGATGCTGAAGTCAAAAAAGCTACTTATTTGTTAACAACCCTGTTACTTCTAGTTTTAAGTAACTAAGACAAAAAACTTCTTAAAATGGTTAAAAACTATTGCAAGGTGTTTCAAGCCTTGCGTAATCTCTCAGCAGACCTTTTACCTTAAACTCATATACTCCGAAGTATAAATTTCTCCTAACCAAATTATAGACATTAGCGTTACTAAGTAATAGAATTTAAAACATTTCCGAATAAACACATTACGTTGAGCAAGTGCACGTTGCTTAGCGTGTTATTGGAAGAATATTCGATAAATTATTCAAACGAGATTCAGTACGACCACCACCATTCAACATTACCTCACTAAGAGCGCCTCTCAGCTACCACCGTCTCTTCTCCTACATCTAAATGCCAAATTTTTTCAAGCCAACATCTTCGGCTTCTTAAACTTCACTTTAAAACAGCCCATGAAATCTCTAAGTATTAGGGCAACAAATCCTGAACCTAGTGAATATCTTATGTAGCTTCTAAGAATACGAAAAGCTTGGTACAGAAACAAAAATCCTCGGAGGAGATTGATAACACAATAGCAAAACTGCAGTTATACGAAATAGCACTTTAATCCCAGGCTCTAACCTTTTTAACTCTAATTTTTATGCTGCTTCGTCAACTAATGCATCATTTTCTTGGCCGACAGTAGTTCCTACTTTTAAAATCATAATAACAATAGTGCCATTGCTATTCGTGTTCAAATTCCTAGGCTATTTATTGCCATCGAAACCATGGTAGCCTTTCCAGACTACCAAGCGCTTGCTGCTCATCTATAATTTGTTTCTACATATCTAACCATATCTATGCAGTACCTGCACCTGAGCGTGTGCATGAGCAACCTAAATTTGCTTGTGTTGAACCATAAAACAGCAGTAGGACTTCAAGGAAAGGCAAAATTAAAGAAAATGAGAGAAAAGGATATTACACTTGTACACCTTCAATTACGTACTAGTCGAGCTCTTTTCTTTGAATGCGGCTTTAAGCTTCAAAGTTTGTAACGGTTTATTCTGAAGCGCTTTCAGATAGTTCTAGCTTTGATTTCTTCCACTTTCCATTCATTTCATTTCAGACTTATTGTTACTATTTAACTTGTTTGAAAAATCTTTAACAACACTCCCTTACTGTTTTTGTTTCTTGGAAACTTTTATTTTGCCTTTCTTATTTATTTCTCTATCTTTATCGCTTTTTTCATCCAGTAAACATTTATGGTACTGACATTTTTTCCAAATTCTTTTCATCATCTTTACAATTCTCGCATAGCATAAAACAACACCCAGATATTCGGAAACCACTTTCTCTCTGCCATTTAAGTCAATGGAGACACAACAGCAATGCTACCGTAGTTGTCCAATTCTCCTTTCGAAAAGTAAGTCATTGGCAATATGACGAGTAGGGCCTGCAGCGACAAGCACGACTATCAATTGTCCCACCTGGCGCGTATAACCGGATTACGGTAGTCGCGCCATTCTTCGTGACAACATTTCTGCGAGCGAACGCGGTAGAGCAGTAATGTAATAAATCAGCATGTCTTACGGCTATAAATTAATCAAAATTACAGAAAATGCACACCAAGTTATTGGGATCTAATTTACCACCTATTAAGGCGACAATATTACTAGTTTCTTGCTACAGTACATGGTAGGCAGTAAACTCCTTACAAATTCTCTTAATAAGTGACTCATAAAATTGTTAAGCGATATTTTAGGATTTTTAAACATACTTAAAAATATTTTAAAAATTTGTAGAAATTGCCAGGACTATATCGCTTGGATCCTACAAGTGAAGGTTCTGTATAACTGGAGGGTAGGCAATTAACGAAAATACTGGAACCAAAAGTATAAAAGTTTTATTCTTTTCATGGCAAACATTATATGAACTTATCAGTTTTTTTAAGAATGCTGATTAGTGAAAAATAGCCTGCTAATGCTACTATAAAAATTCACCTTTCCTCTTATAAACGTCCGGCACAACCGGGAAGCCTAAAATCCCGTTTCCATGTTAAGCTGACAGCAAAAAATAATTACGGTGCTAAATAAATTAGCCAAAAGACGCTTAAATAGTTGGCCAATATTAGCGAAAAGTGGAGGGAAAATCATACAGGAAGCTATTCAAAAACTGAGGAATTGCGCCGACCGTGTGAACAGCTAAAGTCTCCACTAGGAAAACATCTGCGGAACCGGTTTCACTTCAGTGAACTAGAGTAGCGCAGCTGCACGCATTTGTGTTCTCTTTAGTAACCGGAAAAAATTTGAAAAATAAGTTTTTAGGCTTTTCATTCATAAAGTTGTGTATTACCAGTTTGGTATGAAGATATCATTCTGAGCGAAGTAATTAACGGAAAGGTCAGAAAGCAGCAATGATATGGCCGACTATTTTAACCAAGCGTGCTCCCGTTTAAGTTGTAAAATTTATTTTGTTTTCTAATTTTTACCCTTTTTTTTGCCACAAGGCTATCTTGTTGATAAAACGAGATATACATGGAGTACCCCATTAAAATCGGGAACTGTATGGTGTGACTGATTGTAACTCAGTGTCGACAAGTTGTAATCGATCTTGATAACCACTTAAATCATTCAGTAAGCGACTAATTGACCTTAGAAGCACATCATCACATCATTGTGTCCACTTACAGTAATCTTTAAGGAGTGAACGACCATTAGGACGAGCTTTCCGCGCACTTTAATCCGCTGCTTATCCACTTGTCTGCGCCCATCTGCGCAATTGTTGCACACATCGTCAGCGCTTGAGGACGACTTCAGATTTTCATTTTGAATCGTGAGAGTTAAAACCGACAAAAACCGTAAAAAAAATGAAGCGCACATTTAGAGGGAGCGTTTAAGAAGATCAAAGCTGAAAGCGTAACACCAAGTGGTGTATTCTCCACATCACTCTCCGGTATTCCATCTACGCCAGCACGGTAAGTCTAATCTACTGAGTTTTTTTTTCTAGCTTTGTTTAATAAGAATTAGTAAAAAAAACAATAAAAATTTGTAAATTTTTGTTTACTTTTACTGAGATTTTAATATCTAGATGTCAATAAGGAAGAGATTACTAAGGAACAACCAGAGCTCATATCACTGCTATCGTATCTTCAACATAGTGGAAGTATTTATTTGCGAAACACTTAGTGGCATTACCTATTAAAAATCAATATTTCAAAAATTATATTTTTGCCTTAAGCTTATTTTTAATTTAAGATATTGTTACATGCGTTTAGAAGACGTCACCGTACCACGTTTACACAGGAACAATTGGCTGAACTCGATTCGGCATTTCAGGTGAACAAAAGCTAATTTGCTTAAGAGTGTAGGTTAAGACAAAAAGTAGGCAAAGACTGTTATCAACCACATGATCTCGACTGTATCACTTACAGAAAAGTCACTATCCGGATATCTACGTGCGAGAAGAGTTGGCACGGATCACTAAACTGAATGAAGCAAGGATACAGGTCAGTCTTCTTTAAAATTAGAAATATCTCACTATCTACAGACCCACTCGATTTTGATCAATTAACCTCTCGATCATTGGACGGCGGCCTAGCGTTTTCGTTTGCTCAGATTAGGGTTTTCATGCTTGGTCGCCTTTCGGACATGATCTAATTTAATTTGTTGTCACCTGCACCAAGTCAAGTTGGTCGGATCGTCTCAGTACACCAATTATCACCGTCTGAGTTATTTGTGGTTGGTGATGTCGAAGGCGTAGAGCAATTATGGATTAGGCAAGAGTTCATCGAGGGTCGCCATGTGCGCTAATTTTCTGTTGACCACGACTAATTGCCGGTGTCGCTGCTGCGATGGGGTGGTGGTGGTGGTGGAGGAGATGGTGGGTGTTGTTTGCTAACTAACTGGGCATCTGGATAGAGAAATTTTGGAATGACGGCCGAAAAATTGCCTCCATAGCTAGGGAGTTTGAGAAATGATGCACCCATCTTTAGATCTTTTGTTGATAAGGCGTTTTTCTGACTAGTTGATACTATGGATAAAATCCGTCCTAAGGATACTAATAGTATAAAATGGCTTTTTTTAAGACATTTTAAGGTTGAAAACTAGTGAGCCAGCTCCAAGGAATAACATTCTATTTTATATTTTCACTTTAGGAAGACATCGATGAAATTTTTTGTCGATTATCTGAAATTGTGCTTTTTGTGTACAACGCGGTTACAATAAGAGAAAAGAAACATTAGAAACAAAACATCTGATTTTAGAGAATTTTGATGAAGGTCTTGGTGCGGCAATAGAGGAATAGTTTCTAGAACCTAACGGAATAGCATAAAACTTGAGGCAAGTGTAGCGTAGTGGTTAGATGTACCCTGCAATGCTTATGTGGTCGTTGGTTTGAATCTTACGCTCTTGCCCAACTAACCGGGCTATCATTCAGGGATCGGCAAATTGGCACCAGACTTATCTCAAAGATAAGATGCGACTAGATTTCTGGGCTCCCGCAAGTCGACTTTCTATAAGCTTAATATGCATTAAATCATTTCTACCATACTCTGAATACGACCTAATGTATGTAGCATGCTCCAAAAATTTTCAACGCCAAATACTTTTTCGTACCTTTTTATCTCTACTTAGAAATCTCAATGATTTCTCGGCTGTCGAACGACAAACGGTTTCCCACGCTAAACGTCATTTTCCCACGCTCTTTGGGAATCAAATCCGAAAAATAATTCATGCAATAAGAGAAATTGCATTTAATATATTGGGTTTCGTCGTTTTGGCTGTCACTTGCTGACTTCGCACGCTCATGCAATTTCGTCGTCGCACAACGACATCAGCAACGATTCAAGTTGTTCACTGGCCTTCGTCGAATGAACCGACTCTGATTGGTTCCTCAGATGAAACAGGCCTGACTAAATACAATCAGAAAGCTTTAGGGATAAACAACTGAAACAAAGTATTAATTTGAAATGCTCGATGAACGAATGACTGCAGATAGATTCGATTCTCTGATCTGTTCGCTACACCTTGTTGTTTCTTTATCCATTCGTTCCACGAGGTTTTTAAATTTCCTAGATTTTTCATTCGGTTGAGATATTTGAACTTTAAGTCCATTGTAATCTTAAGCAAAAACTAAGCTAAACTGTCAGCTATCAAATAATTAAACAGCGATCACAACGCTGGCTTCTTTTCTTCCACCATTTAAAAAGTATGAAGTTTGGCGTGCAGTGGAATTTGCACACCAGCACTCTGGATATAAAGGCATTCCATTAAAATTAACTGAAAATCGTTATCACATGACGGCTATCAAATTGTCAACTTGACTTTGACGAGTGCTGACGATTTCTAGAAGATTCTAAGAAAAATATCACAAAGAGTATTAGATTCCATTAAAGAATATCGATATTTATAATTTAAGACAGAACATTCTAGAAAACAATTGTTTCTTAATCATCCATTCCTAATTTTTTTCCTATTCTGCAACATTTGAAAAGTCAGCTATTGAGCCAAATACATTTTCGCAATGCTTTGTGTACAATGCTTTCACCTGAGTAAAGTAAAACACCTCTACTAGGAGTTAGTTACAGAAGCTACATCAAGGAAAAATATGACCAGTTACGGTAACATGACGTCACTACCGTAGCCAATGGTTCATTAGCGCATTGTGCACGAGCGTACCACCGTGGATGCACATCATGACGACGACAGCGGTGTCGTCGGCGGCGGACGAGTTATGGGCGCACACTTGCCAACTTACAGTAATCCGGGCTCTGGCAGTCCCTAATCAATCCTTCCTCTCATACGCCATGCAATTGAATTATTGACACCCACCCTACGGCAGCAGTAACAACCTATTCACCACACAGACATTGCACAGAATTCATAAAATCTATCTATAGACTCTAGGAAAACGAAAAAAGGAAAGGAATCCGTAGAACTACATTCAAAAAAGTGGGAAAAAATGCTGAAAGCTTCAGGTGGGGAATTTCTGTCATTTTCGGCGCTTACTACGAAACCGCACAACTTAAGTATTCCATGCGTTAATAACTTCACTAATGGAAAAGAATTCAAATGTTGCTAAGCCTTCCAAACTTCGAATTTCTTCCAGTCCTTGAAGAAAGGCCAAGCATCTAGGTGAAAAAGCAGCAAACTCCACATAAATAGTAAAAGCGATAGCAAAGACTTCTCAACGAATAATGGGATGATAAGAGAAACTGAAAAAAATTTTCCAAATAATTCTAACAGGTTCTAAATCAAAGTAGTGTGTTGTAAAGTCTTAAGAACTTTTTTACACAAAACAGGGCAAACTTGTGGTTTACATTTCTTTGTGTTCGCTCCTAATATAGTTTCCATAGCATCGTGAACGCCTCACCACTACCGTGTGCACCGTAACATGCACTGTGGTGAGAAGACCTTGTTTAAATTACACTCAACTTTCAACACTTCTCTTGAATCTAATTTTTTAAGAAAATTTGTTAGTGTGAAATTAAATGCTTTTAGAACAGAATAGTCTGAACCCTGACAAAATTTCATCGAGAAGAAAACCCTTATGGAGGCTTTTCCTTACAATTATGGTAACCACCACTTTGATTAACGACCGTCTGGTTTTGCATCGTCAATTGGAAACGCTAACGCATTTCGCATTCATTAGTTTGCTGTCGATGTTCAGCATGAATAAATATCTCGTCCAAGTTTTCAAATCGAATTTCAGGTCATGGTGAGCATCATCTTATCTCACTAGGCCATAAAAGAGACAAACATGGCAAGTAATCAGACAGTTTTGCAATATTATTCGATATGAACTTCTCCTTATTGGTTTCACTGCAGAATATCTTAGCTTGTCTTTTAAATTTTACAAATTCACAAATATGAACTACCCTGGGCCAGTTTTGCCATACCCCTTCTCTTTAATGCGTTAAGCATCATTGTCGTTCATACTTTGCCAAACTGCACAAATGTGATTTGATCACTGGAGTATTTTCATCATTTTCTTTACGGTCTTTTGTAAGAAATACTTTTCCATTAAGGTGTATCTTAAGGCAGTATCTTTTTAGAAGTTCGTCGACATTAGTAGACATATCTTTTACTAAGTTTGCTGTCTATTTTAGAGCAATATTAAAATCAGAAAGAAAATTAGAAATCGGTAGCTGTTTTTTACCAAGTGGACAATAATGTATCAAATTTAGAACAAATCATGGATAAAGCTCACTCAAAGCAGACCATCACCATGTACGACGATTAAGTAAGAGGAAAACGAACGAAAATTATGTCGGGACCCACAATGTCCATGAAGACAAACCATCCAAGCATTTAAGTATCCAAGATGACATAAACACTTCTAAGTGGGGTGCTCGTATAGCACAGTGGTTGTCGATTCCCCTCAATGAACATCTCATTGGTCGAAGGTTTAATGCAGCACCAGGAAAAATCATGCACGCCTTTCTTCGGTAAATTCGTTCTAGACTTCCCTATGACGATGAAAACATCGACGTGATGCATCGTTATGTAACCATAAGTTATTGTAGAGCTCAAAAATCCATGCGTTCACCTCTTTGGTAAAGTTGAATGCTTACCGCATCTCTCAAGGATTGGCCAACACTACCGAATTCTTTATCCTTACATTTCTAGGTTAATAATTGAATAAGCTCTCCAGTAACTTTCCTCCACTTAAAGCAACGCTTTTTCTTTTAGGTATGGTTTCAAAATCGGAGAGCAAAACATCGAAAACAGGAAAAGCAATTAAACAAGGTTATCATTGCTTTTATTTCCCACTATCATTTTTGCGTCGGAAATCTTTTCACACTTACTTAAAGTTTGAATACATGGAACGTCCGTCTTGTAAACTACGGGAAAACGTTTAGGTTCCAGCAAAGTTATCAACTGCCTGTAAAACTATTGGTAAGGCAGAGTTTCCCTCTTCTGCAGACTCAGTGACCGCAATAACGCCTTTTCGTGCAATCATCATTTGGCAGCTAGTGACCGTATTGCTGCCATGATGCAAGAGAAATCATAACACTGGTTATTTCCGCAGCGATTTGCCATTTCAAGCGTTCTAAGCTTTCTTACAGAATTCATCAGTCAATAAGTGGAAAAATCTCAGAAGCCCCCAATATTTGTATGTGAGACCGATAAGAGTTATTGATGAGGATAAACCTTCAATAAAACCTTGCAGAAGGAAACGCGCTACGTTATAAAAATGGTTGCCCGAAATCAAATTTATCACCTGTGGCTCCATTAATTACTTAACTTAGTTCACTTGGAATAAACTACACTCGTCTTCCTTGACGTGTCAAAGCTATTAGTCAGTAGATGGGCAAAAAATTTTTGAAAAAGAGTGTTGAGGTTGTGTTATATCTTTTGTAAGCAGGTGTTTCGACACAATTTTGAATTCCATTCCAGTTGAATCCTTTTTAAACAAAGCAGCAAGTCGAAGCCTGTCGTTTGGCGGAGCCTTGTTACCGTAATTATTTTTAAATCCAGTGCTTTCGTTTTTTCGAAAGAACAATTTTCCAGACACTCAACCCACACCAGGCAATATTTGCTGCAAATCCGGCCAGCAACATAATGCGACAGAGCATGTATCCAGCACCATTGGGAAATCCACGAGACACTTTTTGGTAAGAATCCGCTGAATTTTTTGACAAAATTAACATAATTGACACAACTCAAGAAACCACACTAATATCAAACAATATTTAGTTACCCGGATGCTTCGGTGGCCTCTCTTTACTGAATGTACGAACCTAAGCAAAATTTCCATTCTTCGGACATTTGCTGCTTAAACCATTGTAGTTCCCTGAAGTCGCCAGGTCAACCAAGACGAAGTCTTCCTCAGGTTGTCAACAACCCGGGCAGTCGCCGTCCTCGTGGATCAAAGGAAGATTTTTCACCATGTAATTAGTTTGTTACCAAAACGGTAGTGAATTCTGGTACTGGTTTAGTGTTAGCTAGGAATTCGGTTGGAAACGCCGGACTACTTCACTGATTGGGCGGACCTAGCAGAGGAATGAACACCCGCCGTAAATCGCAGGCCGACACCTAGAACACCTCCTACCCACGATGAGGCGGTAGACAGTTGATAAAATGAAATCCAGCAATAATACTTAATTAAGAAGAAACAATGGAACTTAATGAAAACTTCTAGTAACTCGTCAAATTCTTGCTTTTTCTCGATCCTTAACTGAGATCTACCTATAGGAAAAGCCCGAAAACCCTATTTTTGAGTGCATATTTCGATTGATTTGAAAGACTTGCCACTTACGATTCAAAAACATACCCGTTCTTACCCTGTGCATCTTACCAGGTAAAATAAAATAAAATCAGTATAGGTATCCATCATACCCACGACAGATGCCTTATCCAACTTCTACGCCACCGTATTCCACGAATTCGTTCACAAATCCAATAACAAAGTGAGTTCTAAAGCAGTAAAGCATAATCTAATTGTGAGTTTTTGCAATTACAAAATTATTCTTGTGACGTCATAAATATGCATATTTATCTATTAACCACACGTTAACTTGAGTCATTATTGCTTGATCTCTGAGCCACTATGCCATTCTAACGTATTGAACAAGGCGTAGACTATGTGTCGAGACTTTTACATTTGTACAAAAGTGCCTTTTTAGGAACAATGACTATTCACTCCCTGCTGCTTTACCGGATTTGAAAAGTCGCTGTGGAAAGCATACAATGCAAAACTGTTTTAATTAGCCGAAGATTGAGCTTTGTAAAAAGCGTAGTCCACCTAGCAAGCAATATAATCACTATCTTATTTAATTGGATATTTGGACGAACCGTCCTCGTTGGTTGTGCGAAGCCCAGCATATTCTCCATTCTTCGGAGTTTTGCTGGCTTAGCCATTGTGTTTTTCATGAGACCCGAGGTCAGCTAGGCCGAAGCCTGCTCCATATCTTCACCACAGACACTCGCCACCTTTGTTGATAATAGGGAGATTTGCCACCGTGCGACTAGTTTGACACCAGGACGGTCGTGGATCCTGATATTGGTTTAGTTTTTGCTGGGCATCCTGGTGAAAACTCCGGGCTCCTTCTCAGCTTGGGAGACCCAGCCGGGTGATGAATCCCACCTTTGTACATCGCAGCCCGACACCCAGGGAACACATCCCAGTCACGACGAAGCAGTAAATCGTTGAGAGGATAATCACTAACATTTGCGTAATTTCTGGAAACGAGAATAAGTCTTTTATCCCTGAAGAAAGTGTCCAAATTATGATAGCTTTAAAACAATAAAGCAATGTCGGACTTTGTGATTTTGCAAGAGCTATGGATGCGGATAGCATTAGAGGTACTGTGCAATTCATACGGGTTCGGCCGTCGCATCCGCCGATCCCATCCCGACTCCTGCCCGGACGAAGCTTTCCATCGTTCCGGCGTAGACACACAGACGGCGTGATCCCAGACTTATATGGCAAGACAAAAAAAATGTCTTAATACGTCATTATGGTACCATAAGTTATTGTATAGATGAATTACATATCCAACTAGCACTAAGACGCTGCGAAAAGAGTCGAAAGCATTCTGTATTCTCAAGGAAGTGATCAGCGACAAAGGCTTTATTCTTGATTTCTATGCAAGAAGTTCACAAAGCATGTGTGTAGAGTCTGCTACAATGTTTTAATAGCGTTAAGCTCGTGTCAGGGTTCTTTTTCGTAGAACAAAATTACAATAGAAGCGTACTTTCATAACTTTTTTCACATTTGAGAAGTTCTCTTGTCTTGTCCATTTTTAGAAAGCCGGAGTCATTGCAGAAATGTTGTTTTCCTCATTACAGCTTCAGCCCGTCGATCACTCCATTCTCATCCGACGAAGATTTCTACCAGAAGTCCCTAGCGCTGCGAATGTCATGTCAACCAACAGCTTCAGCAAACATCGCCAATCTTAACTATCCGCAGAGTTAATAATTTCTAGAGAGAAAAAGAACATAAATCACCTAATAGCTAAGACATCTAGTCAATGAACGGTTTGTTTTACAACTTTTGGATAGTTGTTTTTTCTACATGTCATTCTCATTTCTTTTTTCTCTATGCGACGCTAACTTGCCATCTTTGTTGCATTTTTGATAGAGTGAAATTTCCTACTGATATGTATATCATTTATAATAAATGCGACAAAGGAAATACGCTCAATAAACACACAATATGTTCGATATGAAATGAGCTCACTATTGATTCAACGATCCATTGATCTCTAACGAAGATTCGAGTTAAAGTGATCAGCGGTCAATTTCTAACCTTTGTCTTGTGATGTTCAATGCACTGACATTCGGCGTTCGACAGTTCTGTGCACTGCAATAAAATTTTTTCTTGTTCATCTTTTGACTCGTTAGACGATAGGGTTCGATTTTCTTGTTCCGGAGAGTTTTTGAACTGTTTATAGTCGCTGTACCACTATCACTTTACTGGAGACCTTCTCGTTAGGCAAGACTTTTTTCGCTCCTGTTTCGCGATAGTAGTTTTACAGGTTTCTCAAGTTACTGTCATTGTCAGCTCATGGGGATACGGTAGAAGCTACTATCCTGCAATTATTTTCCTATCACGACTGAAGCAACTCATGGTTTACGCTTGACCTGCGTTCTAAATAAAAATTTTGAGCTCTTTGTGAATTTGGGTGACCATCTTGGCTGGATGAAGCTCCTGTCGCACATCTCAGTTTGACACCAATGAACTCCTGAGCGATTGTGGACAGAAAACCGTTAAGAGAACACATTGCTAGTGATTGAAAATGGGATCGAATCTTTCACCTTCTATCTGTAATCATTACTTATTAAAGGAGTAGAGAGAACCCCAGTAAAGTCTTCATCCCTACATGACACGTTCCAACAAGCTGTACGATCTACTACAACCGGTTGTTGAACACTAGCAGCAAGAGGACAACATGCAACATACTATACTTATCGTGTAGTTTGTTAATGTTTTAAGCTTTCCTTGCAATTTCTTCACCACCTATAAGTAAGACAAACATACTATAAGCAGTGTTGTGTGACCGTACCCTATATAGTTTTCAATTGCTCAAACTTTTTTCCCATTTAAAGTCCGAACTACATCATATGCTCACCCATATATGCTGACAGGTATGAGAATACCTGAATGTGGACGGCATAAGTGAATCCAGAGCAGCGGATATTGGAGCTCATACCCTGGCACTAATTGTCACCTTATTGGGACGACCCAGTTCGGGAGGGAGCATAGGATAGATATTTGTAGGTACACGTAGTGTGTAAAAAAACTACTTCACTATATCTTCAAAGGCCGGAACATTCTAAGTTATCAGTTTTCTTAAACTTCTTTATAATGAAGTATAATAGCACGAAGTTGATAGTTTTATCTAAAACGCCCCTTGCTTGCCTTGCTTGCCTTGCTCAGGGCAAAGCAAACCTCTTCCTCCGAAATCAGAACACCGCTGACGTACTTGTTTGAAAGGAGAGAAAACTGTTTCCTTGATAGACATGTCGGTTTCACTGTACTAGTCAAATTTGCCTTCAATCACTTCTACTTCAATTGAGTTCAACAGAAGGCCCAAAAGTCGGAAACTAACCATCGCATTTGCTTTACTTTTTATCCTTCTGCTTCTATGGGATACAGACGGATAAACGCTCTCTTTCTACACTATATGCTCAACTGTACTACACTGGTTGCATCTTTCTTGACGACTAGACTGACCAACCTTTAATAGTTGTTATGAAAGCGAGTGGACGGTGTTTGAAGGAAATTTGAATGCCTATGACAAATTAAAGCTACTTCTTTTTTACAGCAGCGGGGCAAATAACTTGCAAGTATATTTAACACGCCACCACAACAGATTTCGCATCAACTCACCAATGTACATCTTTTCACAAAAAGTGAGGAAAAATTACTGAACTTTAGACGAACAATGTGATGATGCTCTTGCCCTGCTCTGCTAATGAGCAGACAAGGACGAGCGAAGACTCTTTTTATGGCAGTTTAAGTAACTTAATGATTAATAGGAATGCAGGTGTTAAATCCTGTTTAAACTTTTAGTTAGGTAACCCATTTTCGAAATGCACGTCTGTTGCCCAGTTGCTAGAAGTGCTATACAAAACATGATCGATTGCTGGTTTGATCCAGCATGGGGCCAGCCAGGCCTCCCCTTCCAAAAATTGGCATTTGACTTGTCTGAAATAATAAAAATACTGACTTGGTACCTTTGTGGACTACCACAAGTAACTGTATAAACCAGATGTACATTCAATCACCTCTACCATGCTTCGTGAAGTAGAAGTTTCGAAAGCTTTATCCTCTATCCTTTACGCTTCTTCGCGTTCTCATTCATAGTCTGATACCACTTAGGGTGTGGTGCTTTTTTACTGTACATTTGGAGAGAGCCGCGCCAGGGGCTGTTTAGGTTGTCTCACAGGTTGTCGTAGGGTCTTGAGCATCGAAACGAGATCTTTCACCTTGTGCTTACTTTTTCCTTCCATGCTGATTTCATTAGGCGTAGCAGAAGAACAAACTTCGTACGGTGCGTTACAGTTACTCTACCCATTAGAACCTCACAGCTACTTAGGGATGGGAAGCAATGGATGGAAAGAGACGAAAGGTGTGAGTTGGAATCGCATTCGTAGCCTGAATGACCATGTTTATCGATAAATATCGACAGCAGGAAAACTGAAATGTGGGAAACGGTCGGATTTTTGGACAAACTAGTACGACAAACGAGCATGAGAGCATAAATATTGACGCAAAGGACGACGTTCTTATTTGATTGGGACGAGGGCGCGAACTCTCATTGGGTTTTGTTTGGCCAGCAGCATCCATCCATCTGACACCAAGTTTCCTAAGTAAAACTATCCTAGGTCACTTTACTGTTGATTCCTTATATAGAACTAGTTGCAAGATATATTTATAAAAAATCTAAGGTTTTCTCCAACTTACTGTCGAAGTTGGAGTCCGTAGATCACAATTGTTTTAAGTCGCGTAATTTGAAATGGTGGAGGAAATAAAGGTTGCATAAAACGCCTACAAGAAGATCGACAAAAGTCTGCATTTCCTTTTTTTTCAAACATTCTCTCTGTCTAAACCTACTTTTCTGCACGTGTTTTCCCTCTCTTTATCGACCACGCATTCCTTAGCTCTCATCGATTTCTCGTCTTCTTGTGTGTTTTTTAAAAATTATTTTTGAATTTATTTATAAATTGCTACTAATAATGCGTCTTGAGCACGAGCTTTTACAAATTAGAGATAATTACGGCAAAATAGTTCTTTGTGATACACCGATTTTGAAGACCAATTCATACAAATATGTGGACTCCCTGTCGTCTAATTAATTTAAAGGATGAAGTAGGTTACTTTAAGTAGGAGCAACTTTTCTATCCTTTTAATCTTCCAGCTCTTTCACCATTGTTAAGAAAAGCTTGCTAGAAAAACTAAATAGTGTTTTTTCGAAAAGAATTTTTGTCAATATGGCTGACCACTCGTGTACCGCGGTAGTTAGATGGTCATACAATACTCGCGTATTCATTGGCTCGATCTGGCGCCTCTAACTTACCAAACACTCCATCTATTTTGTGTCTGAAAATAGATACCGGACTCTTTAGGGGGATAAAATCACTGGATCGATACATCACCAGGCCCTCGGCATGGTCTTTTGACTGCAATGATTTCTTCATACCGATTAACCTGAATGTGAAATAAAAACCGCGACACTTCCCCAACTTTTCATCTAAAACCTATTATATAACCTTTTATTTAAAACCTAGGAATCTTCTTCAAGGTATGGGATTATGTGATATTTACAAAACTCACGCCCCAGACCATATTCGATTCGGCGATTACGCTTTTCGGAAGCTCACGTGTTACCCACTGCATACTGGCTAAAATGCCGATTTGTGCTGCCCATATCATTCTCGCTGACGAGTGATTGCTGATGGCACCGCTTGGGCAAAAAACCGGATGACAGAAAGGTAAAGCGGGGGCTCAGAGGCGCAGTGGGCAAAATGTAAGCTCCGTAAAGGGTAATCGCAACTTCGAATTTGACCTGGGGTCTTAGTTTTGCAAATATCTCAGCATTACTTGTTGCAAAATCGAATATTTCATGCTTGAAAAACTGAAATGTGTTCACAACTGTGATCTGCTGCTCAGATCTACCCAATCAAAACTTCTAATTTGAACTGAATTTAACGAAGAATTTCATATTTTCACATCGGTCAGAAGAATCTCTGTAAAGTTATAGAGTGTAATGAGGTTTAACCTTTACTATGATAGTATTTGCTACTTGTTCTCAATCTGCACCGGACAACTATGTAGCGGTCGGAGGCGCCCTTCGACACATATCGGATCGATCCTCGCGCCCATGGGCCACCAAGCCTTCCATCCTTCCGGGGTAGGCAAATTGGTACCAGGCTCGTCTGGGAGAATAGCAGCACTGGCTCGATAATCGGTAGGCCATCAAGAATCATTGTAAAGGCCAGATGTGCATTCAATCACCTCCAACAATGCTTAATGAAGTCGAATGCATGACGCATTCCTCAGTGATCGATCAACGCCGAGAACTTTATCCTTTTCTTTTATTTACCGCGCAGCTAGACTTTTGATGATAGTAGATCTGTATAGGTATCCTTTGTTCGATTCTTACTCTATCATTTGATGCCTAGGAAATTCATAGCGAATTTGTTCGCCTTCAAAGGTTTCGAATAGTTCTCTGAATAATATTCTCACTATCAGTGGCAATTGGTACGACGGTTTTCACTATCAGTGACAATTGATACGACGGTTCAAATGTCAGTAACTTGATCCTTTTGCACTTTTCCATCTTGGTTTGACAGATTTTGATATTTCAAGTGAATTATAAGTATATGAAAGAAGACCGTACCGATAATATAAGGAATCTCTGTTGTTCATGGCGAGTCATAATCTCAATGCGCCAGTCGAACTTCAGACTC